TTGAAGTATATTTCAACTCCTACAAATAACACAGTAGTTTCTGTTTGGAAATTTAGAGGTTTTGTTTAAAAAGTGGCCCGTGCCTCGGAAAAAGAACCTTACAGTTAGCCTATTAATCATAGTGTCAACGCTTAAATTTTATTAGAAAGCACCCGAACAACCCACAATATATTGCAAGAAAAATATGCTGATGGTCCAAACTGCTCTTTCAAAAGATTATTGATAAAATTCTAATAACTTTCAAAAGTGAAATTTAATTGTTCAAAGATAGTCTAATAAGCAAACTTGACGACTGATCATTTGTCAATGCGATTTGCCTCGAGCATAACTTTGTGAAAAAATCCGCCTAATAGCAAGCTTATTCAGATCTTTTTCGTTCAGAAAAAGTTTTATTGCTTTTCCAAATATATCACCACGTATTGTTTTGCTTGAAAGCTTCAAAGCTTCATGTCGAGGTAAGTTCCGTATCGAATATAGTTTACAATGATGAATTATGTTTTTTTTACTGAATTTTTTTCTACGAAACATTACCCCAACTAACCAACGACGTACATTTAACTTAGATTTTTTTGATTTTATGTGAAGCAGAACATCATTTTGATTTATTGGTTCAACGAAACTTTGACTGCTCTAGCTAATTGTTTGAAATTCAAGGTTTTTCTCAGTTGGTAGGAAATTCCGCAAAAATGACCTAATACTTTTGAATACCTCTATGTGCTTAACAAAGTTCAACTTGCAATCAAAGTACATTCCTAGGTAATTTAAATTTGAAATTTTTTTCTAAATAATCTTCAAGATTTTTGACATTTTCTTCTTTTGTTTCCTGATTTTGTGAAAATAACCAGTTTAGTTCTGTTAGCTTGTTTTCAATTAACCAATTATTACGCCATGCAGTTCAGCGCTCAGCGTGTCGTAGTCCAATTTGATTATTTTGGAGCTGTATAGTCCGTGTAAAGAATAATATGAAGGTGGTTGCAACACGTATCAAAAACGCTCATGTAAATAATGAAGACTAGGGGACAAACGATAGAACTTTGATATACTCCAAACTCAAAAATTTCTTTTTCCGCAACTAACTGCTCTTTAAACGTAAAGTTACTTCTTTGGTTAAAATAGGACTAAATTAAGTCATTCACACTCCCTCTAATTCCGGTTTTAATGGTAATACTTTTTTTCCAAAAACAAAAACAAAGGATTTTGGTGAAAAGCTTATTTCTGTTTTTAATTGAATTTTATGTTTAATTGAGACCCAATCGTTGCAAAGGAATGATTGAACCTCTCAAATTAATTTTTAGAAGTTATAGTTAAATTTATAATACATTTTTTTGTCAGTAATTTCCAAAAAAAACATTACAGAACTGCCGGCATTCGTTTTTCGATTTGCATTTGAGCGTATTTTGATAATACTCTTTGTTGTTATAAGAAAATTTGTTCGATTTCTTGGTTCATAAAATTTTTTTTTTAGACTTTTGATTTTTAAGCTTCAAGTGTTCACGGTAGAAATTGTTTCTTTCGTTCACGGATTTTTTCAATCAATAATTTACTACGTTTTTTATGGTTTTTAGTGTCTAATCGTTTCGAAAAAAAAATCAGGAAATTTTTTAATCCCTGAACTCAACGAAATTTTCACAGGTCGAGTTTCAGATTTTTAAAACCCTAGTTTTTGCTTGATTTTTGTATGCCAAGTTGTAAACAAGTACTAAAAAACCTTTAATTAAACTATTCCAAGCTCTACGTGGAATTGCATTTTCTTCCAGAGCATCAACTTTGAAATTAGTTTCACCTTTAACTGTAAAATGATCTCGTATTCTGGTTTTTAGTATTTCAACTGCACTGTTTTCATCATAATTGTTAAAAACCACTAATCAGTGTTTGACAAGTGTTTTGATATTATGAAGCAGCAGATATATGGACAAAATGAAGGTTGAATTTTCAAAACAGCTCTTGAATGATTGTTCTACGAGAGTTAGATCTGAAGCGGTCAAAACCTAAATCCCTGCATAGATTTTTTCAATCATTTCAGGATTGTTAATGTCTTTCAGATGATCTTGTATTTTGGTATTATTTTCAATGGTAGTACGTGGGATAACGTATGACTAGGTTATCCTTTGATTATTTACTTTGTTTTTTGATAGTTTTTAAGGTCTAATCTTTTTGGAAAAAAAAACGCTAAATTTTGCGATCTCTGAACTCAACGAATTTATCACAGGTCGAGTTGAGATTTTTAAAACCCTAGTTTTTGCTTGATTTTTGTATGCCAAGTTGTAAACAAGTACTAAAAAACCTTTAATTAAACTATTCCAAGCTCTACGTGGAATTGCATTTTCTTCCAGAGCATCAACTTTGAAATTAGTTTCACCTTTAACTGTAAAATGATCTCGTATTCTGGTTTTTAGTATTTCAACTGCACTGTTTTCATCATAATTGTTAAAAAACATCAATCAGTGGTTGACAAAAGTTTTTCACTAGGAAGCGGCAGATGATTGGACAAAATGAAGATTAATTTTGCAAAAATGCTCTTGAATTTTTGTTCTACGAGAGCTAGATCTGAAGCGGTCAAAAGTCAAATCCCTCCATAGATTTTTTAACTCATTTCAGGATTGTTAATTTCTCTCACTTGATCTCGTAGTTTGGTAATGTTTTCAAAGTTACACGTGGGATAATATATAAACAGGTCGTTATTGTATTGGACACAACCGATGACAATTTTTTTGTAATAATTTGTAACTCAATACAGTGAGGTTTTTGAGAATCGAAAAATTTATATCCGCTATTACATCAAGCCAGCACCACCTCCCTCCGACAACAATGTTCAATTGAGTGTTAGACTCCTTAATTTAGACTCCGGAATCTGAATTCTTTTTACGCCTTGTCTCTGTTTCGCAAACAACATCTGGACAAATTGTGTGATTTTCGAATAAATTTTAGCTCACTAATTTTTCTGATAAGTGCTCTGATGTTCTGAAGCGGAATTGCAAGCATCACAGCCAAAAATCACGTCAAGAAAAGAGACAAGAGGCACAAAACTAAGTTGAGAGCACTCAATCCAAACGCTATGTGTCACAAAACAGCCCAGAAACGTTATTTCATATTTGAATACATTACATATATCCCCTATTTAACCAAATACTTTTCAATTATCTCTCGAGTCACAGATTCTGCAGAAAAAAAATTCAAAAACAAACTAGATTTGCCAAAAGTGAACCACTTGAACTGCAATTATCGCGAGTATAATTAGATCAAACATACAACAAGAAACGTTGCAGTTCGCGCAGGAAATTTTTTGAGTTCAAGTTGTGCAGTCGCGGACTCCTCCTAGGTTCTTCTTTATGATCAGTAAACGAATAAGAAAACATAAAAACACAAATAATTAGTTCGAGCCAGTTTACTTAGCAACCACTCAATTTCCTGTGGTTGTTAGATAATTTTGCTTTGACGTAGATGTTTAGTTGCAACCTCATCTTCAGGCAATATTTCATTCAAAAACATCAATTAATGCTTTTTTGTATTTTCGAAGTTTTTCAAATATCTCCTTGCAGCATACAAAATATCCTTTTCTTTAAAATAAACAAGCTTTACTATTTTACTGGGATAAAAATCACCAAATTTTCCAGGTAATTCATGACAGGTTTTTTACCAGTCTGTACTTACGTTTTTTTGCCAAATTTTTCCTGAAAAAATTGACCATGTCATTCACCAGGTTTGCACGAGCTCGGTTATTATGCAACCATCTTTTCAGTACTTTTACAGTGCTATATCTCTATCAACCGTTTCTTCAAGCTGGGCAGAATGCACATCTTGAGCCAAACCCAGATCGTCTTGTTTTTTCTTTAGATACTCGATATCCCATTTCTGATCAACATTTTCAAGTTTATCACATTAATTTTCATAAAGTAGGTATTAAACAATCAAGTGATTAGGTGATCAAGTAAAATAGATTAAAAATTCACTATTTTCAAAGTTTGTTGACCTTTTTTTAGGTTGAACAAGCTGAGTTCCGAGCACTTCGAGATAACTATAAAGACCCCATTCTTACAAACTTCTATGCGCAGGCAAACTTCTGAAAACACTGGTCAAAAATGCTGTTTCTGGACACCTTCTGGACAGAAGAACTGTTTTTTTTAATTCAAAATTAGTACAAGTTGACTCCAAAGGAGAAAAATGTTAGGATGGTTGGCTGAAATTTATTGGCTTAAAAAACACCAGAGGTAACCTTTGTTTGGCGAGGTGGTCGAATCCCTGAGATGGAAATTTTTTTGAGCTTAGCATATCGCTAGATTTCCGGTGAAAAGCTAATAAAATTATATTATTGTAACAGACTTCGTTTTTGTAGAAAAAAAAACATTCTCCATCTACAGAGGTCATCCCGCTAGGTCATGAATGCCCCGAAACATTTTGGAACTAAGTTCAAAGATTCTATACAAGTATACAAGCACAAATCTTCACCTTCTTTTATTTAAGTAGAAAAGATATGTGCAAAATTATCATTTCAAGTTATTTCTGACTAATCCAACTCGTCTTAAGGACTTTGCGGAATCTCAAAAAACTCAACCCATTGATGGCAGGTGCAGATCTAGGATTGGAGTTAGAAAGAATTTCCAAAAATTTTGGCGAACTTTTGTTAAAGATAGAAACCAAATTGATACTTGGAGTTCAAACTTTGGAAAAAAAGGTCAAAAATGTCGTGTTTGGGGGCTTTTTGGAGATATTGACAAGGAGTACCAAAGGGGGACCGGGTCATGATATGTTTATTCCGTTTTTTGATCGTTACTTTGAAGGCGATTTGTTAAATGCTGGTAAAACTTGCATGAGATAACTTTTTAACAAGTGAGTTTTACCAAAACATGATTCAGTATATTCGAGCATATTTAATGTTCTGTTTTTCCTTATAAGCCTTGTTCGTAGTTGAGCCGGCCCAGCTGTTTCACAAAGTAATCGGAGCATAACTTTCCAGCTTTTTCAACCGGAAAAAGACATGAGCTTTTTGAATCATTTTGTTTCGGTAGCAGCTGCTATGGTCTTTATTTTTTCACTGTTCGTCGAGTTTTCGTTCAAGTTGGTGAAAACTAAAGATTACAAAATCAATTTATTATCCTGCTAACTTAGTTACTGCTTGCGCTTTTCAAGTTTGACTTTTAATAGTAGTTTATCAAAAATTAGACTGACTGTAGCTGAAAATGGGACTGCTCAAGCTCAATACAGTGGCAGGTAATTTTTTTCCACTTAAAGCATGCATTCGTCGGAATTCTTAATCAACATGATTGTACTCGCAAGTTTTTTTTGTTGGGGGGGAGTTATATTCAATGATTGAGCTTTTTAATTTTTTTGGCAAAATCTAGGTTTTTTGTCTCAGAGTTTTGGGGCTATAATAAAAGTATCACGTTTTTTCAACGAGGAATAAGTTTTATAAATACTGAAGTTTATTGATTTTTTTAGTTAGCGTGTTTCAATCTGCTTTAGTTTTCTGCCTGCTGATTTTTTTCATTGATCTTCAACAATGTTCCGGATCTGAAACGACAGCCGCATCCACCGAGTCAGTGATGATGCCTTCGAACAGCGTGAACAGCCGACACGCTCAGGCAGTCGGCTACGAGATAGAAGATGTGGCCGACGACACTGCCGACTACTGTCTCAAGATAAAAGAAGAGGCGAACAAAACGTACATTGAAGCCGACGATGCTAAAGCCGAATTCGGACTCTCCGACGATGTCTCGGAGCAAGAGGCGTCCGATTACTACAACTACGCGATGCGAGAAGCGGTAAAGATTATGGAACTCGCCGATGAGTGTGTTTCGGCAATGATGTATGCAGTGAGCAAAGACGGCAACCTCGTCGTCAAATCGGAGTCCTTGGCGATGACCGTCGATGACCCGAACGCCAACTTGACCGAAGTTAAGTTCACGATCGACGACATCCGAATGGACATCTCAGTGTACCAAATGAATATTACAATATGGGCTCACGAGTTCACAGAGCGTGCCGACAACATAGTGGCCGCTCTTCGGGACGCAATGCAGGAGATCTCGGAGGAGGAGGGGGCTTCGGCGGAGGCACTGGACGATGCTAAGGATACAAAGAATGAGATCAAATACTACACGGAAGGCATAATCGAATATGCAGAAGATATGAAAGACGACGGGGATGAATCATTCGAAGACATGAATGAAGACTTGGATGACCTCGCTGCTAATCTGAAAATGATCATGTAAACTAGCTGAATTATTTATATGCACTAACCATACCCAATTACTTAAATATCACCAAAGGTAATCAACATATTAGATACATAATCAATATATTACTTAATTATAATGAAATCGGGGATTTTACTATTCGATACTCTGGGGGTGTTATATTGAAATAAATGGTATATTTTCAGTTTTTTAACTGCACGCCCAATTAATGAGGAACCATAAATTATCTGTTTTATGTCACACCAAAAATATTCTGTAATTTCCTGACACAAAGAAAAACTTTTCACGTTTGAGCTAGACTTTTGGAGATGAACATTCTACAGAATTGAAAGAACAAATCAAGAAACAGCTAATCAATTGAAAAAGGCTGCAAGTAGCCAAAGCATCAAAACATTGATTTTTGATCATACGTTAGATTCAAAAAGAATCTCAAACTCTGTAATGCAAAACGGTTTTTTATTTGTTTTCGTCGTCTTCCAGGTAGGCCACAAATTACCTTGCCAAATTATTGCAAAAAATCCACGATTTGTTGCTTTTTACAGCTCCCCAATTTCAACTAACGCCCGTTAAAGTCGACAAAAAAACTTGCTCGTCTTGATTAACTAATTTTGATTGTCAACTTATGTTTCACTTATCTGTAAAAAATGTCTAAAAAAATTGTTTCTCCACAAATCAATTGCAATTGTTTGCAACCATTCTTTGAGAACATTCTCAATCAAGCATGGAAATAATTAAAGTAAATCCTAGGCAAAAACTGTAAATACATACTTATGCTTAGAAAAATTGTCTGAAAAGCCATATGTCTTCATTATTTGATTTCGTTTTTTCTTTTACTTGCGATTCTAACTTCAAAAAAAGCTGAAAAATCAAAGAAAAAATCTCAACTTTTCAATTTCATTTTTCTTCGCATATCAAACATAAAACTACCTGTTTTGAAAGCATATTATAGCCTGCATGGCACTACGTTAAATAAATGAAACAAAACACTGGTTTACTTCCAGATGCGAATAGGACAAGTCGTACAATTCCATACACATAGTTTTTGGAAAAAAAGCTGGTCAAACAAGTTACATATAATTTTTCAAAAATCACTGTATTCGTAAATAAAACTTTGTTTTGTTTTTGCGTAAATATCGTTGCAATGTCCCAAGAGGCTTGTTCATTGAAAAAAATTGCCATGAAGTTTCCATGCATCGGCAAAACATGAAACGAACCAAAAATTTAATTCATCAGCTGGAAAAAATAATACATTAGCTGGAAATTTAGCTGGCCTCACTTCTGTTTGGAACAATTCGGTGGGCGGGATAAATAGCCAAGAGTAAAAATTGCGCGTTGCATTTTCAGCATCAAATATAAAACGAGCAGTTTAGGTGGTACGTGTAGGGTGTGCATTTTCGGCGAGGCCCACGAACATCCAGGGATCAATCTCTTGAGAGAAAAATCTTTTGACAATTAGTCTGAATACAAAAACCACCCCTAGCATTTACATTCTTTGATTTTTAAATACTTGGATTAATTATCGGAAAAAGTTATACTGCTAGCAGCTCTGACCAATTTTCACAAAAAAGTTAAAGCTGTCCCAAATCATCCCCCCACGCCATAAATCATCCCACCACGCCATATAAAATTCAAATTGATAAACTTCGCTCCTTGTAACAAATCAATTTTGGCAAATAAGCTTCCTTCAACCAATTCGGAACGGATTTCTAATACGCGTTAATGGCGCGTAATATTTCCCGCGTTTAATTGTCTCAATATTGTCAAAATGGCAATCTTTAAACCCCCATAACTTTACGTAAGCAAATTTTTCAAATTTAAGCTCAGGACAACAATTTTGATTGATATAAAAAAACCCGTCAAAAGTGGCTAGTTAAAAAGTCGAAAATTGTCTGACGAAAAAAACAACCCCGCGAGCACAATTATTTCGTTACTTTCTTGGCCATTTGAAAGGTTAATTTGTGAACACTATGTTATAATAGCTTTTATAAGATATAAAATCTTCTTGTGTTATTTAATGGTACTTTAATATCAACAAATTGCGGTCTAATTTATAAAATTAAAATAAAAAAATGAAACAGCTTGCTCTCAAGTCTATAACTGTTTTGCGATGATTTTAAAGTGCTTCTTTAAAGTTAAGTTCAAAAACATCATGCTGGTTTTTATTTGGTACAAATTTGAATATGATATTGATGTTTTAGTTATTGATTCAAAACTTTGTTGCCGTCACAGTAAAAATGAACAAGGTCATTGGCTGTTCTTAAATTAAATCTATTAAAAAAACGGGGTTGTGCCATGAACAACAGTCCATGCCATAACCGTGTTATTTCTAAGATGTATTTTTACTTCCACAGCCAGCGATCTGGGCTAAAGGCTACAGTAGCAACAGCAAGTAATAACATCATTTACTGAAAGTCTAAAATCCGTTTCAGATGATTTCAAAAAAATTGTTTTGTTATGTTTTGTTCTTTCCTCCTGGGGGAAATTGCGTTCTCACAGAATGTCAACAAGTTACGTAGAATGGGAGATGAACCAGAGTAAGTTTATGATTTTAAATTTCGTACTAAATTTCGCAAAGCTATACCCAACACTTGGAAAGATCTTCGATATCACTTTTTTATTCCTTTTCTGATTTCTATTCTTACAAAGGTTTCTTTTCTGATAATTTGCAAATAAATTCTCACTTATCTGATTTTATGATATATTATCGAGAAAGGATTTTGTTAACTAATTCCTCCAGTTGCAAAAGGGGTCCAATTCCGTACAATTTAAAAAGTCGTATATGCTTAACTGTTCATTTTTTAGAGGGTGCAGTTCGTTCTAAGTTAGCATAGGGGGAAGGAAATAGTTACCAAGATGCTTGATAAAATTTCGAATATAGAAAATGCAGCTCAGCAATATCAAAGGGTAATTGGTTGCGTTGCACAAATTGACACCTAGAATAGATTTCAGCTTCTTTTTATCGAGACTTTTTTGTGGGTCCAATAGTGACACCTTCTTGCGGCAAAACAGACAAGTCCAAAAAGTCACCGCAAATGGCACTAAAACACCTTCCCGTGTTTAGGAGCGCGTAAAACGCGCTCAAACTGTGTTTTTGGTGGAGGAGCGTCAAAAACCGGCTGGTCTGCTCTGCCTATTTTTTTATCCTCCTTTTACGTGCCCGCAATCAAGCAAGTGTATGGTATCACATTTCTGGATGGATCCACCTAAAATGTAGTGGACTCGCAAATTTCAAACAACATCATAAAAACATTTACTACTAGTACGAATAAAAAAAAACCTGCCCCTACCAGTAAACGATATGCCTAAAAGGCCAAAAAACACGGCTAAAAGACGAGGACGAGCACCCGAAACTGTTGTATTTATTGTGTTTATGTGTGAAAACAAAATCCATGTCGCGGTTTTTTAAGAGACAAAAGCTTCTTAAAAACCGCACCCCCTCGCTAGGCTCAAATTCAGTATAGTCCTCGAGAGGTAGGTGGAGTACTTACGGCCATACACAAAACATCTCTCTATGAAGAGTTGCAAACAGAGGAGGACGGGACTTTAGACGCGCAGTGTCTTAAAAGAATGGCCAACACAAACTTTTACATTCCCCGTGCACTAGCTGCCCAAAAGATTATAAGGCTTCTAATTCTCAGCGTCTTGCTGAAGAAAACGCAATTTTCATACCAATTCTCTCTGGTATTCAAATATAGCGGAAGATAACTGAAGCGTCTATTTAGGCGCAGAAACTACCGACCCTTACTTCAACCTTTTGAGCGGAAGATAAATGAAGCAAACGCAATAACCGTTCGGCAATTCAAAATCTTCGTTGCCAGACTTACCCTGAGCATCAATAACCATTCTATTCTTTTAGAGTTTCAGACCATATTAAAAAGTCTCCCTCTTACGGAAGATACTGCTATTACCGCCGAAAAGAATTTAAACATTTTTTAACAAAGCAAACTGGACAAGCTCACTGCAAAAATTGAAAAGAAAGTCTCTAAAACTGTTTTTATGAAAAACGTTATTTTTGCAGCAAAACGGTTTTAAGGAGCGCAATTCTAAAGGCGGCCCGGCGCCATACGCTGGCAGGACACCATCGTTTGTACACTCCTGCCTGAACAGCCAAAACTACAAAAAAAAACTACATAGAAGCGCAATAAAATATGAATAGAGAACCTCTCAAACCCCCTTTTAAAAAACTAAAGAATTGATGAAAAAGCAGCAACAGAAAAAGAAAAGAACGGGCAGGAATACCTCCGGAAGTTTAATCACCACTGGTCGTCCAGTAAATTTGGAAAGTAAATTGCTCCTTAAATGGAACCAAAACCGTTGCAGGATTTCATTCAACCTCTTTTAATGGCAAAAACTTATCAGAGGTTAAGCAAATGGCAAAACGTTTTAACGCTCATTACGCGAAACTCAAAATCAAAAAAAAATAACAAACAACAGAGAAAAACCAACACGAAAAACAATCGCTTTTAGAAGAGGCAATTAGCTGCTATGAAACAAAAGAGGCAATCAAAGCAGTTAAACCACCAAAAGTGTTAGATCCACCGGCTTTGGGCCCGACAGGCTTTGCACGGTACACCTTAAACATCAGTCTCTGTTTTGTTTTGAAGACTGAACTGAAAATGTTTGAATATTTAGTTCATGCTTTTTTTACAAATAATCTCCCAAAACCTGAGAATCAACACTGAGAATCATCCACTCACTCCTCCACTTCTGAACTAGAAATACTTGACGATTTTATCAGCAACAGTCTTAACTGAAAACGCCTACCTGAAAAAAACTGTGGTGGTCACCTTAGATCTGTCCAAAGCATTGGACATGGTCTTCTTTTGCACATTGCAAGAACTTCTTCATGGCACCACTGTACCAGATGTTTCAACTAAATGGCTTGCAAACATTCTGAGGGCAGGCAAGCCAAAACGCAATTGTCTTCATGCAGGATCGTACGAGAAGACATTCTCCAGGGCTCTGTTCTCTCGTCCACTCTTTTCAATTTCTACGTGAATGCACCCCTCTCTCTTCCAGAACTCAAAGTTCAATCTTACGCCAATAATTTTAAACCTTTAGTCCTTTCACGCGACACAAAACAAAGCCTCTGACGCTTAAAGTAAGTATTCTAGCAAACTGCACAAGTTTTTTTTTACAAGCAGACAACTCGCGAATTTTCCTCTGAAAGCGCTCTGTATGTTT